AATGTTGATGGCAGCACAATCCACGATTGCAGAGATGTGGAAACAACCCAAGCATCCATCAATACATGCATAGATTAATAAAATGTGGTATATGTATACCATGGAGTACTACTCAACTACAAAAAAACAACAGTGATCTAGCACCTCTTATATTATCCTGGACAGAGTTTGAGCCAATCTTTTGAAGGGAGGTATCACAAGAATCGAAAAACAAGCACCACATGTACTCGCCATCAAATTGGTACTAACTGATCAACACTAAGGTGCTCACATGGTGGTAATACTCACTGGGTACTGGTCAGGTGAGTAAGCTCACAACTAATGAGACAGAAGGCACTGTATAAAGGAAGCCCACGCTTCTAGTCCTGGCTTGGGGGAGCAAAGGCATTACATGTAACCAAAATGTTTGTACCCCCATAATATTCTGAAATTAAAAAAAAGAAATACAAGGCATTTCTGGAGAGAATTGGAGAAATCTGCATACGAACTGGGTATTAAGTTTTGTAAATTTTGGTAGCTGTACTAATGGAATGGTGGTTACATAAAAAATACAAATAGAGATTTATAAAAACCTTCAGCAGGCCGGGTGCAGTGGCTCACGCCTGTAATCCTAGCACTCTGGGAGGCTGAGGCAGGAGGATTGCTTGAGCTCAGGAATTTGAGACCAGCCTGAGCAAGAACAAGACCCCGTCTCTACTATAAATGGAAAGCAATTAGCCAAACAACTAAAAATTGAAAAAATTAGCTGGGCACGGTGGTGCATGCTTGTAGTCCCAGCTACTTGGGAGGCTGAGGCAGGAGGATCGCTTGAGCCCAGGAGTTTGAGGTTGCTGTGAGCTAGGCTGATGCCACAGCACTCACTCTAGCCTGGGCAACAGAGTAAGACTCTGTCTCAAAAAACAAAAACAACAACAACAAAAAAACAACTTCAGCAAACATATTTGATGGGGAAATCATATATCCATTCCCTCTGAGACTTAAAGTCAAAAGTAGTCATCATAAATGAATGTGATTGATAAATTAAAACTTACTAGTCTTAAGCACTTCTGCTCAAAAGAGAACCTGAAGAGTTTCTATTTTGCCTTTAATCCAAACAGATTGTCAAAGTCCCCATTTAGAGGTGATCAGGAAAATATTAACACTTGACAAGATATTTGAGGATATTAAAGAAGTATGTTAATTTTTCTTAAGTGTGGACCAGGCGTGGTGGCTCACCCCTGTAATCCTAGCACTCTGAGAGGCCAAGGTGGGCAGATTGCTCGAGGTCAGGAGTTCAAAAGCAGCCTGAGCAAGAGCGAGACCCCATCTCTACTATAAATAGAAAGAAATTAGTTGGCCAACTAATATATATAGAAAAAATGAGCCGGGCATGGTGGCGTATGCCTGTAGTCCCAGCTACTCAGGAGGCTGAGGCAGGAGGATCGCTTGAGCCCAGGAGTTTGAGGTTGCTGTGAGCTAGGCTGATGCCACGGCACTCACTCTAGCCTGGGCAACAAAGTGAGACTCTGTCTCAAAAAAAAAAATTTTTTTTTTCTTAAGTGTGATAAAGGTCTTGTGGTTATGGTTAGTAAAAGGGTCCTTGGGGGAGGCCAAGATGGCAGACTGGAAGCAGCCTGGCCACGCCACTGTCGTGGGACAGATTGAAGGTGGTGCCTAGATACCCACCTTTGGGCTGATCGTCTGAGCAACAGCACAGGGAGTCCACGGAGAGGAGGTGGGAGTGAAGTGAGGAAGAGAGAAGTGGGACCAGCTGCTCAGCAGGACCGGGCACCATCAGGCAAGGCGCACACGTGGGAAAGAGATGAAGGACAGAATCCCAGCCTCCACGTTTCACCTGAGGATACAGGAAACAGAGCATTGAAAAGGGCCCCTCCTCCCCACCAGGCCTCCCAACTGACGCAGAGACCTGACTCGAGGGCTGGCTTGCAAGCCCTGGGCACTGCAGCTGGCACCATTGTGACATCCCAACCCTGGAACACGACTTTTTCCCAGATCTGTGACTGCAGCCACCCCCTTGCCTCTCAGGTGGGGCGGGAGAAGGGAATCCTGGCGCTCACGTGTGCCCCACGGGCAGGCGATGCGCGCTCTGTCCTCCCAGCTGCTACCACTGGGGGCCCTGGGCAGAGCAGGGGACCATGGGCTGGCACGCGCTGCTGTGGCTTGGGCAAATCTGCTCAACCCCACTTCCTGTGGGACCCCTTAGCCCTCAGCACCCACGGCCCACTGCTGGATCCCTGCCACCTCCTCTGCTGCCTGAAAGGCCCCAAGTGGGACAAGAGGGAGCACAACCATGGCCTTTGGATTTGAGTGGTCTGCACGCCATGAATAACTCTCTCCACATCTGATAACGCCACATATCTGGATCACCTGGGGGTCAGTTTCTATTGTCTTTCTCTTGGATTTTGGTCATTTAATCTTTTTGTTCTGGAAAGTCTGATGAATTTTGGCTTTAATGGTAGACACTGTTTATAACAATTTGAGGAGGCTCTGTATAGTATCTGCATCCACATAAGATTTCTTCTGGTAAGCAAGAAGGGTTCCCGCACACCATTGCTACCCAGTTAAGGCCGCATAGCCATTGCTCATGAGGGTTAGGGAAATGAGCACGCTCCTTTGATACAGCACTAATTCTAGAAATTTCTTCCAAGGAAATAATAGTGCAAGTCCATGAAGATGAATGTTACTGTTCTAAATTCTTCATCAAACTGCTGTTGAGAAGACACAAATTGAGCATTCACCAGTAGAAAATTAGTTAACTCATCATACATCTGTATACTGTAATACTGCACAATTAAGATACAGATTAATATTGACAGAAAGTGTTTCCAACAGATTAAGAAGTGAATAAAAGGCTGGGCGCTGTGGCTCACGCCTGTAATCCTAGCTCTTGGGAGGCCGAGGCGGGCGGATTGCTCAAGGTCAGGAGTTCAAAACCAGCCTGAGCAAGAGCGAGACCCCGTCTCTACTATAAATAGAAAGAAATTAATTGGCCAACTGATATATATATATAAAAAAATTAGCCGGGCATGGTGGCTCATGCCTGTAGTCCCAGCTACATGGGAGGCTGAGACAGAAGGATTGCTTAAGCCCAGGAGTTTGAGGTTGCTGTGAGCTAGGCTGACGCCACGGCACTCACTCTAGCCTAGGCAACAAAGCGAGACTCTGTCTCAAAAAAAAAAAAAAAAAAAGAATGAACTCATCCCACAAAAAAGAATGAAATCCTGGCATTTGCAGCAACATGGATGGAAATAGAGGACATTACCTTATGTGAAATAAACCAGGCACAAAAAGACAGATATCGTATTTTCTCACTCGTACATGGGACCCAAAAATGTTGATCTCATGGAGACAGAGAGTAGAATGGTGGTTACCAGAGGCTGAGAAGGGGGGGCAGCTAGGAGGGATGAAGAGAGGTTGGTTGATGGGTGCAAAAATACAGTTAGACAGGAGTAAGTTCCAGCGTTTGATGGCACAGTAGCGTGACTAGAGTTAAGAATTTAATGCCTATTTCAAAATAGAAGAAAAAAATGTGGAATGTTCCCAACACAAAGAAATGATAAATGTTTGAGGTGATGAATATCCCAGTTACCCTGATATAATCATTACACATTGTACACATTATCAAAATATCACATGCATCCCATAAATATGTACAACTATTATATATTAATAAAAAAAACCAATTTCAAGTATTATTTTCAAATAAAGAATTGATCCAAAGCCCCATTTCAACCAGGCCTATGTTCTGTCCTACATGTCTTCTTTTTAATTATACATACCGATGAATCCGCCTTTTTCTTTCAACTAGTTTGAGTTGGGTTTTCTATTTCTTATAATTGAAACCACCTGAACTGATATAAACTATGAACTCCAGTAGTTCACCCTAGTATCTGGTGGTGACAAAGCAAAGCATTACTGGCCCTATATTTCTGATGGTAACATGAAACTTGAGCTATCATGGAACTTAAGTACCCATTGTCCTGGAAGGAAGGTCCAGGAAAAAAATTGTGGGACACCTTTCCCTACTCCCACTGGACATGTAGTTGAGTAAACCCTTCAACCAAGCAAACTTGAAAACCACTGAAGCATCTGAGAAGTATGGCATATTGTCCAAAATGCTCTACACCCTTAACAGCTTAGTTCAACATCCTGAATGCATGCTATAAGATAGTCCCCTATTTTGCGCAATCTTTTCTCGTGAAGCTTTAGAGAATCATAGACCAGTTGGAGAAAGGCACGGTGGTTCCCACCTGTAACCCTAGCACTTTGGGAGGCCAAGGCAGGAGGACCACTTGAGGCCATGTGTTCAAGACCAACCTGAGCAACATAGTGAGAATCTGTCTCTACAAAAAATAGAAAACTTAGCTGGGCATGGTGTCACCTGTATGCCCAGCTACTCAGGAGGCTGATGCAGGAGGATCGCTCAAGCCCAGAAGTTTTGAGGTTGCAGTGAGCTATAATGATGCCCTTGTACTCTACCCTGGGCAAAAGAGACTTTTTTTTTTCCATTCAGTTTGTTCCCATCACAAAAGCACCCCAAAAAGAAAGTTGCAAAACTTATGCTATGTACAACTGATAGTATATTGTACAGAGAAAGTCCTAAATGATAAGATTAAAACTTTAGCCCAGGCCGGGCTCGGTGGCTCACGCCTGTAATCCCAGCACTCTGGGAGGCCGAGGCGAGCGGATTGCTCGAGGTTGGGAGTTCGAAACCAGCCTGAGCAAGAGCGAGACCCCGTCTCTACTATAAATAGAAAGAAACTAATTGGCCAACTAATATATATAGAAAAAATTAGCCGGGCATGGTGGCTCATGCCTGTAGTCCCAGCTACTCGGGAGGTTGAGGCAGGAGGATCGCTTGAGCCCAGGAGTTTGAGGTTGCTGTGAGCTAGGCTGACGCCACGGCACTCACTCTAGCCTAGGCAACAAAGCGAGACTCTGTCTCAAAAAAAAAGAAAAAAAAAAAAAAACTTTAGCCCATTCCTGTTTGAAAACTGAAGCTGAGCTGAGAGAAGCCAATTGCCAAAATATTACTCATATTGCAGTTTGCATGATTTTATGCATTTTTATTAAATGATCATTTCCTTGCATTCCTTTTTAAGGCTTCTTACGAGAACACTTTTCTTTTTCCTAGTACAATTATCATGACTAATTGGCGTTGAACACATTAAAATTTGCAAATATTTATCCTATCTATGATAGGTTTTTCCTATCAAGTTAAGCAATTCCAGAGCATCTATGATTTATTACGCACTGGTTCAAGGTCGTGATCATACAGCAGTAAACAAAGTTTCTGCCTCCAAGGAAGTTACATTCTAGCAGAAATGGATTTTTCCATGTCCATCATTATATTTTTGTTCAAGTCCCAACCTTATGATTTTTAAAGGCCTTTTTCCCCTGTAGCCTCTATTGAACATGAAGGTTCTGATTAAAATTCTCATACCATTCTTATAGGGATTCTCTGTTGTGTGTTTTCTTAAGAACTGTGACATTTTGGGCTCTGCTCGAAGCATTGGTCATATTCAAACAAAACATAGGTGTACTCCAACAGAATTCAGATTGTAAAAAACTCAGCTCACTAATGAATTCTTAAAACATGACATTTATAGATATTCTCTGCCATGTGGATTTTCTGAGGAAAATGAGAAGTCTAAGTCTTGAAGAACGCCTTGACCACATTCATCATGTGCATTGGATTTATCACCATTATGGACTCGCTGATGAACCTGAAGACATGAACTCTTACTAAAGCCCTTACCACACGAGTAACACTTGTATGGTTTCTCTCCAGTATGGACTCTCCGATGGGCTTGAAGATGTGACGTCTGACTGAAGCTCTTACCACACATGTCACATTTATAAGGCTTCTCTCCTGTATGGATCCTCTGATGAACATGAAGATATGAGTTCCAGATGAAGCCTTTCCCACAGTCTTCACATTTGTACGGTTTCTCTCCCGTGTGGACTCTCTGATGGGCTTGAAGATGTGAACTCCAACTGAAGCCCTTCCCACACACATCACATTTGTAGGGTTTCTCTCCAGTGTGGACTCTCTGATGGTCTTGAAGATGTGAACTCTGGCTGAAGCCCTTCCCACATGTCTCACATTTGTATGGCTTCTCTCCTGTATGAACTCTCTGATGTGCCTGAAGATGAGAGATCTGACTGAAGTCCTTACCACAGGTGTCACATTTGTAGGGTTTTTCTCCTGTATGGACTCTCTGATGGGCTTGAAGGTGGGAATTACGGCTGAAGTTCTTATCACACACATCACATTTGTAGGGTTTCTCTCCAGTGTGGATTCTCTGATGGGCTTGAAGATTTGAGGCCTTACTGAAGCCCTTACCACACACCTCACATTTATATGGTCTCTCTCCAGTGTGAACTCTCTGATGAAGACCAGAAGTCTGATTAAATGTCCTGTCAGGTGCCTCCCAGTTGTATGTTTTGTCTCTAGGGTGGGCTCTCTGATGGGCTTGAAGTTGTGACGTCTGACTAAAGCCTTTATTGTATGTATTGCATTTACACACTTTCTCTTCATTGTTGTCTACACAGTGAATGTTAAGATCGAAGCTATGACAGAAGCCCTTCCCACATCTGTCACAGGTACACAACTTCTCTCCTGGGTAAATAAGCTCATGAGGGGGAACAGAGGAGTTCTTATTTAAGCTTTGAGCAAAAACATGACATCTGTAGGGTTTCTCTGCTGTGTGGACTTTCTGAGGAGGCAGATGTGAGCTCTGACTGAAGCCCTCACCACACTCACCATTCCTACAGCATTTCTGTCCCATGTGAATACTCGGATGCATGGGAAGCACCGACCTATAACCTATGCCTTTCCCATACTCAATACATATAAGAGGCTTCTCGCCTAAGTGCAATTGCTGATGAAGTTCAAGATTAGAGCCAACACTGAAGCCTTTTCCATTCTCATCAGAGGTTTGCTCTCCTGATTGGATTATACTACACCGGGATGATTTCTTCATGAAGTCTTTTCCACAATTAACGTGGCTGAAAACTTCCTCTCTTTTGTGAACTCCCTTATCGTCATGGTGGTGAGCAATCCTCCTCCTAACATGATGATCACATTTATAGAGTTTATTTTTCACATCAATTTGCTGACACCTACTCTGATAATTCTGTGATTCTCTCAGATACATTTTCCTCCAGAAATCCCAGGTAGTCCTAATTGGAAACTCTTGATTTTTGATACTATTGGAACTCTCCCTTCTAAGCTTCATTACATAGTTCTCATCTTCAGAGCTCTGAATAGATTCTCCTGCCCATACCCAACAGGGGAGATCTCTTTGTTTTAGCAACTTGGACCTCTTGGCTTGAAGATTTATTATGGAGTCTCGATTTCTGGCTGATTTACTTGTAAATTGTTCCAATATTTGCCAGCACATAAGGTCTTCATGTAAAAGGTATCTTAATCCTACTTCTTGAAGCATCTCTATCTTGTTTTGATTCCTATGTCCTGGAAAAATAAGAATTCAGAGATAAAAATAAGGATAAGTGAATGTTTGTTCAAAGATAAAAATATTTTACAGGTTGACCACACTGGAGCCCTTGTTTGACCAGTGAAGAGTTCAGCTTGACTTTATCATTGTTTTTCTTTCCCTGTGGCTCCTAATCACAAAGTGTTAATGAGACTCATTTAGAGCTATACCAAGATCTATGTATGTGGTTAAATGCAGAGGATACAGAGCAGCAAAAAGATGTCCTAGAAAGATTTTGTAGGGGATTTACCTCCTTGTCCATAAGAATAAGGACAAGGAAGCTCACTTAAGGCTAGGTGCAATGGCTCATGTCTGTGATATTGGCACTTTTAATACTGGCCAAGGTGGGAGGATTGTCTGAGGCTAGGTGTTTGAGACCAGCCTGAGCAACATAGCAAGGCCTCTGGTCTCTACAAAAAATAAAAAACTAGCTGGGCATGGTGGAATGGGCCTGTCATCCCAGCTACTTGGGAAGGATAAGCCAGAAGGACCCAGGCTCGTTTGAGCCCAGTATTTTGAGGTTGCAGTGAGCTATGGTGATGCCACTGCACTCTAGGCCAGGCAACAGAGTAAGATCTTATCTCAAAACAAAACAAAAGAATATTCACTTTAAAATCTTCTCTTTTCTGCAGCACGTGTATAGGATCTACAAAATCCTGACCATTTGCAAGCCACAAAATCAAGGTTGCTCTGTACAACCTGCACACCTGTATGTGGTGAGCAAGCCTGAAGCGGCTAGAAAAGTGAATCTTTCTAGTGTCTAATCACGTGACACCAAGAGTTTCCAAGGAGAGAGAGAGGAGATTTCCTTGGCAAGAGGGGAAGAGAATATATTTGCGAAGGAAAATATCTCCTCTGTCCTGATAATGAACTCATGAGATGGTATCTTTATTTCCTTAATTTAGCCATTAAATATATACATTAAACAAGCTACATTGGAGAGAATTCTCCTTCATTTCAATGAGGTCCTAGTATACAATACTGAACTGGTGAACCTCATAACCAGAAAACACTAGAAAACATATTCCAATAGCTGACACATCCTATGGGAGTAAAAGCATTGATCATTGTTGTCACTTCACTTGGCTGAATTTTCTGGTAAATCTGAATGGCTAATATTGCCTTTGAGGCTTCATAGATAGCATGTACCTAAAGGTGCTGTGGTAGCCAGCCTACAAGATGGCCCCCAGTGATCACTGCCTCCTGGGATCCACGCCATTTTGAAGTCCCCTCCCACAATGCATCAGGCTTGCTCTGTAAAACCAATAGAATATGACAGAAGTGATGGTATGTCACTTCCAGGGATAGGTTATAAAAGACACTGTGGCTTCTGTCTTCCGCACTCTTGGATCCCTTGTTCTGGAGGAAAGCAGCTGCCATGTTTTGAGGTTACTCTGGCAGCCACAGGGATAGACCCTCTTGGCAAGAAACTGAGGCCTCGTGCCAACAACTCTGCGAATGAGCCCATCCTGAAAGTGGATCCTTCGGTCCCAACCGAGCCTTCAGAGGACTGCAGCTCTAGTGGACTGTTTGACAACAACTTTTTGAGATCCTGAGTCGGAATCACCCAGTGAAGCTGCTCCCAGATTCCTAGCCCACACAGACTATAAATGAGTGATTGCTGTTTTAAGCCATTACATTTAAGAATCATTTGTAAATCGGTCATGGATAACTAATACAGGTGTCGTAAAAATTATAATCAGGCGGAGCGCGGTGGCTCACGCCTGTAATCCTAGCACTCTGGGAGGCCGACGCGGGAAGATTGCTTAAGGTCAGGAGTTCAAGACCAGCCTGAGCAAGAGTGAGACCCCCGTCTCTACTAAAAATAGAAATGATCTGTGACAGCTAAAAATATATAGAAAAAATCAGCAGGGCATGGTGGTGCATGCCTGTAGTCCTAGCTACTCGGGAGGCTGAGGCAGAAGGATCGCTTGAGCCCAGGAGTTTGAGGCTGCTGTGAGCTAGGCTGACGCCACGGCACTCACTCTAGCCTGGTCAACAAGCGAGGCTCTGTCTCAAAAAAAAAAAAAAAAAAAGAAACAAAAAGAAACAAAATGGGCCAGGCACGGGGGCTGACACCTGTGATCCTAGCACTATGGGAGGCTGAGGCAGGTAGATCACAGAAGGTCAGGAGTCCAAACCAGCCTGAGCAAGAGCGAGACCCCGTCTCTACTAAAAATAGAAAGAAATTAACTGGCCAACTAAAAATATATTTAAAGAATTAGCCAGGCATGGTGGCACATGCCTGTAGCCCTAGTGAGCTAGCCCGGGCAAGAGAGCGAGACTTTGTCTCAAAAAACAGAAACAAAATGGACAATGGCCATAACTGGGATCATAATTCCCAGGTGAGGTTTGTATTAAAAACTGAGGGAGTCAGTCAAGTGAAAGCACCATCCAACATGCCTGACTGCATTCCACCTTCACATGGCACTGACATACAAGAAAAGAAATGAAAAAGATTAGAAAGATTTTACCCCCGACTACTCACAAAATCCAGGGCATAATCTATCAGATTGGCAGACCGATTCTCCTGGGTTTTCCTGTTTGCTTTTTTTTTTTTTTTTCCTGTTTATTTGATTTAATTTTGGTTTTTGGTCCTTACATCCAGTAGAGATGACTATAATTAGTACATTTTAGGGTGGGTATATCTAAGGAATATACAGATTAAAGATAAATGAAGGAAGGAGTAAAGAAAAAGGGGTAATGAAAGAAGGAAGAGAAGGGTTACAAGGAGAGTGGTGAAAGTAGAGCAGGGAGGATGTTCCTGGGCACATGGATGCCACAGGTTAGGGAGAGCTGGGAGGGAGCCTTTTTACTACTATTCAAATGTGACCACCTACCCATGCAACCCTTCACTCATTCATTCAACAAACACTGAATGCACATGTCCTATGCGCCCAGCCTCTGCTCTCAGGAAGTCACCCTCTCATGGGGAGAGAAAGACCATAAACAAGCAAACAAAACATAACACACGAATCTGTCAGCTGGTGATTAATGACGAGTCACAAAATCAGTTGTGGCTGACTGAGTAGGGGATGGGTATTGTCAACCCAGTGGTCAGAACGGGCTTCTGCGAGGAGGGGACACCCGAGCAGACACGAATGAAGCAGGCAGGGCGCCAGGAGGATGTGCAGGCACAGAACACCCCAGGGAGACAGAGCAGGGCAGGAAGGCGGAGAGCGAGCAGGGCAGGAAGGCGGAGAGCAAGAGGATGCACTAGAGCAGAGTGAGGCATTCTGGGGGCTTGGGCCAGTCTGGCAGTCAAGGAGATGGCGAAAAAGAGGACCGGGCTGTCTCCTGCACACATGTGAAGCCACATGGTTCTCACCTGAGCACCCATCTCCTTGGATCTCTGCCTCCGTCACCCAAAGCTTCTCTTCTCTTGCTAACTGTAGCAGCGTACCTAGTTTGAAGGGCTGGTAGCCTACAAAAAAGAAATGGCATGTGTATAAAGAGAATGCATGACAGGCCAAAATTTTAATTTTTTTTTTTTTTTTTGAGACAGAATCTCACTTGTTGCCCAGGCTAGAGTGAGTGCTGTGGCGTCAGCCTAGCTCACAGCAACCTCAAACTCCTGGGCTCGAGTGATCCTTCTGCCTCAGCCTCCCGGGTAGCTGGGACTACAGGCATGCGCCACCATGCCTGGCTAATTTTTTCTATATATATTAGTTGGCCAATTAATTTCTTTCTATTTATAGTAGAGACGGGGTCTTGCTCTTGCTCAGGCTGGTTTCAAACTCCTGACCTTGAGCAATCCGCCCGCCTCAGCCTCCCAGAGTGCTAGGATTACAGGCGTGAGCCACCGCGCCCGGCTCAAAATTTTAATCTTAATACTACTATCTTGATGTGCTATACGTAGTAGTTTTCAAAATTCTGGTCATGCACTATTGTCCAAATATATTTTAGGCTGTGATCAGTACACAAATACGTAAATAGAAATCACCGAACCAAGTGATCAGGTGATCTGATCCTAATGATGATCTATTTTTATTGCCTCTCCTTTCCTGTTTCACTCCCTATTTTTGTTTCACTGTATGTAGTTCCTGACAAGGAGGTATGCTATTTCTATCCCATTTCATTAAAAGCAATAATGATGTAACTCATCAACTGAATTTAAAACCCACCAAGATGTCACAACTGTAATTTGAGGAAAATAGACAAGGTAGAGAGGCAAGTTGTCACACAGGAATTGGGAGATGCAGACCCTCAAATCCAGAGAAGCATTTAAAGAGCCCCAAAGTCTCAGCTATTTGCAACTAAGGCACTCCTGAGGGTTGACGTTGAGTTACGGAAGGTGCCTGTCCTCACCCACTGACAGCAGGTTCCTGAAGTTCTCCAGGGTCACATCTCGGTACAGCCTCCTCTGGGCAGAGTCCAGCAGCCCCAGCTCCTCCTTGGTGAAGACCACAGCCACGTCCTTGAACGTCACTGCCTCCTACAACATCAAGCACGTGTCCCTCAATTTATGACCAACATCCAGTGGGAGATGGGCGACGGTGGGCAGGTAGAAAGGACAGGTAGGAAGGTGTTCTGGACTCGGAGGGCCTTAAGTCAATTTTAAGTAGTTTCCTCCCTTCCTCCATCCACATGCCCATTCTGTACAGTAATTTTCCACAGTCACACCAAAGTATATGCAACTAGAAAGTTACCCCTGTATATATAACTTGGTGCCACTTGTTAGTATTCCAACAGTAAATGCCCTAAAACTGTAATTCGTGAATCATGGCGTACATACATTTTATAATTCCAGTGATACCACCCAATTGTCCTAGAAATGTTAGGTCAATTTAGTTCCAACAGGATCTGATAGGTTTTGTATTCCTTTGTCACCCACTTTTACTGAGCCCATGTACTCTAATTTTGTACAATTTGAGAAACCAACAGGCCTTCAGTCACCTTTCCTGGGGAGTTATGCTATGGGTCCTCTGTGCTCTTGAGGTACGTGCCACCTATCTAAGACACTATCTGTGACTGAAAATAATATATTTAGTTTAATATGTTCTCCTAGTTTTGTAGTAACTTACGGGCACTTCCTGTTTGTCCTTGCTTATACTACTCAAAGTAATTGTATGAGAATAAACCATGAAACATAAAACTCAAAAAAAGAAAGATAATCTGTTTTATTTACCTCTATTTTTTTTTCTTCCTGACCACCAGGCAGATACCCCAATTTTTACCCATTCCATTGTTCTTTCTTCCTGAAATCCCAAAATTCTGGTTTTCTTTGCTTTTTGTTTGGAAAACTTCCTTTAGCTCTTTTCTTAGAGGTCTGCTAGCAACAAATATTCTTTTTATTATTTTTTTTTTTGAGACAGAGTCTCACTCTATCGCCCAGACTAGAGTGCAGTGGTGTCATCATAGCTCACTACAACCCGAAACTCCTGGGCTCAGAAGATCCTCCTGCTTCAGCCTCCCAAGTAGCCAGGACTACAGGTATACCATGACATCCAACTAATTTTTCTATTTTTTGTAAAGAAAAATTAGAGAAAAATTCCTGAAGGATATTCTTACTGGATATAGAATCCTAGGTTGATAGTTCTTTTCTTTCAGGACTTGAAAAACAGTGTGCCACTTCTTTCTGGGATCCATAGATTCTAATGAGAAATACATTTTCAATTTGAATTGCTTTTTCCCCTAAAGCTAAGGTGGCATTCATTTCTCTCTCACTGCTTTCAAGACTTCACTGTTGTTAGTTTTTCAGAAGTTTGACTACAACATGTCTTCGTGTGGATTTTTAGGGTTTATCCTATTTGAGATTCACTCAATCAATGTATTAGTTTGTTTTAACAAAATGCCACAGATTGGATAGTTTTAACAATAGAAATTTATTTTCTCACAGTTCTGGAAGCTAGAACTCTGTGATTGGCTGAGTGTTGTGGCTCACACCTGTCAACCTGGCACCTGTCAACCAGCCTGACTAAGAGTGAGACCCCATCTCTACTAAAAATAAAAAGAAATTAATTGGCCAAGGTGGGGGGATCACTTGAGATTAGGAGCTCAAGACCAGTGTGAGCAAGAGCGCGACCTCGTCTCTACCAAAAATAGAAAAGATGAGCTGAGCATGGTGGTGTGCGCCTGTAGTCCCAGTTACTTGGGAGGCTGAGGCAGGAGGATTGTTTGAGCCCAGGAGTTGGAGGTTGCAGTGAGCTATGATGATGCCACTGCACTCTACCCGGGGCAGCAGAGCAACACTCTGTCTCCGAAAAAAACCTACCAAAACTAAAAATAAAAGTAAAGACAAAAACAAAAAATAGAACCAACGACAACAAAAAAGCAATTAACTGGCAGATCACAAATGCCTATTTTCCTCCTGTACTCCTCCCAAGGAAGAGAAAAAAGACAAACCTAATCTTTGAAAAGTGATGTCATTCTAAGAGATAAAAATCAAAACTCAACTCACCTGAAACTTGGTCATTTTCTCCTGCTCCTTCTGGGGAAGGGCAGAAGTCCTGGGAACATAGAACTGGGAAAAAAGAAAGAAGCAATAAATCATAGACCATACTGTGCACCAGCTGGGGGTATGACATGCTTGTACCTTTAAAAAAAAATGATGGGGGCCTGGTGTGGTGGCTCATACCTGTAGTAACCCTAGCACTCTGGGAGGCCAAGGCGGGCAGATCGCTCAATGTCAGGAGTTCCAGACCAGCCTGACCAAGAGTGAGACCCCGTCTCTACTAAAAATAGAAAGAAATTAATTGGCCAACTAAAAATATACAGAAAAAATTAGCCGGACATAGTGGCGCATGCCTGTAGTCCCAGCTACTCAGGAGGCTGAGGCAGGAGGATCACTTGAGCCCGGGAGTTTTGAGGTTTCTGTGAGCTAGGCTGATGCCACGGCACTCACTCTAGCCTGGACAACAGAGTGAGACTCTGTCAAAAAAAAAGAGAAAAGAAAAGAAAAGAGAAGAAAAAAGAGAAGAGAAGAGAAAAAAAAGAAAAGAAAAGAAAAGAAAAGAAAAGAAAAGAAAAGAAAAGAAAGTTGACCCCCTTCTTAGGAATCCAGGGACAGCTCCGCTGGCTGCAGGGACCAGAGAAGGGCCAGCAGTGCCGCATCTGGAGCTCAAAACCAAGGTGAGCTCACATTAGCTTCCAAAGACTGAACGCTTCAGGGGGGAAAAATAACAGATTGGCAACAACTGGCCACCTTTTATCATGCGCCTGGATCGGTCCTAAGTACTTTTACCTCTATTTCACGTAAATCTCACAACACCCCTGTGTACTAATATTAAACCCACTTTACAGAAGAAAAACGGAAAAATTAACTCTACCAAGACTATCTCGCCAGAAGGAGGCAGAGCGTGTGGACGGTGGGGAGAGCTAGGGGACTTGAGGGCCTGGGAGACCCTCAAACCAGGTGTGCGACCGGGGCCCGCCCCCAATTTGGGGACCTGCGAAAGCCCGAAAAGCCAAAGGCAAGCAAACTGTCGTCCCCGCCCTGCGTGGCTTTTCTTCCCCGAGGGCGAGGGCTGGCACCTACGGGCCCCACACCCGGGCCAGAAAAACTCCGAGTAGAAACAAGGGTTCGGGGCTTACTCACCTTCCAGAGGGGATTGAGAACTGCTGCCTTGACCTCCTGCAGCGGAAGTACCCAAGAGTGCACACGGTTCGTGGACTACATTTCCCAGAATCCCCGAGGGGGGAACACCGGCTATAACCCCGCCCCCGTTGACGGAAGCGACTCGTCTACCCGGCGCTCCTGGACTACACTTCCCAGAATCCTTGGCAAGTCTGAGCTTACTCAGGTTGCTGCATTCAGTCATTTAAAATATATAAGCAGATTCAGTTCACAGCTGTCAGGTGCTTATTAGCACGTTACCTTTCTTTTTCCTCTTCCTTTTCTTTCTCTTTTTTTATATTCATTCTCTCTCTCAAATTACACTACTACTAATTGTGACTGTAAAGTAAATGTGGCTGCCTAGTGAGAAAGGCAACAGAGGGTCTCAAACTTTTTATGATTCTATTGCCTTCTTAACTCTGCGTGTGTTTGGATGCATCTAGACCTCCGACAATGTTACCTGGCATGAGTTATTCATTCTACGATGCTGAAGACGCACAAGAAGGAAACATAACCTCTGATCAGTCTACAAAACAAATAAAATTTGCCCACTTTTGTTGGTTTTCATTGCTCATTTTGAAATGTTGGATTTTTTGCCAAATGAAAGAAGCTTTGCATTAGCAGGGAAGTGAAGGATCGACAAGATTCAACAATTTATATGAAATAGCAAAGAACCAGAATAGCTAAATCAATTTTGAAAAAGCAAAATTGTAGGACTCGTGCTACCTGACTTAAAGACTTAAACAGCTATAGTAATAAAGAAAAAGTGGTACTGGTGAAAGAATAGACATAAAGATCAACGGGACAGAATAGAGTTTGGAAATAGACCGAGTCATATATAGCCAATTGATTTTCAACAAATGTGCAAATTTAAATTCAATGGAGAAAGGATAGTTTTTTTGAACAAATGATGTTGAAGTAACTGGGCACCCGTATTTTAAAAATGACCTAACATTTCTTATATCATCTGCTATAAATAACTCAAAATGGACCATAAGCCTAAATATAAAACTTAAAGTTATAAAACTGGAAGAAAACATAAACTTCTGCTTAAGCACAGGTGGAGTGAAAATCTTTGCAAATCACATACCTGATAAAGGACTCATATCAAGAATATACAAAAAATCTGCAAAACGTAGAAAACAAGTAACCCAATAAAAAATGAAATAAAAAATGGAAAAAGTATTTGAAACAGACTTTACCAAAAATATGATCATGGAAAATAAGTATATGAAAAGCATGTTTTTAGGAAAATGCAAATTGAAAACACTACAAGATTCTCCTGTATTAGAATGACTAAAATTAAAAAGACTGACTACTACAAGTGTTGATGAAGATGTGGAAGACACTCAGACTACTGCTGGGAATGTAAAATAGTACAACCACTTAGGAAAATAGTATGGCAATTCCTTAAAATGGTAAACATATGATAAAGTTATTTCATTCCTACTTAACCTAAGATGAAAGAATATATAGTCTAGAATTATACAGAAAAAAATATACCTCCATACAAAGACTTGTACACAAATGTGTTCATAGCATGTTTACTAGTAATAGCCAAAAGCTTAAAAACAACCCAAATCCCCATCAACAGGTAAATGAAATTTTTAAAAAAAAATTTGATATATCCATACAATTGCAATACTACTCAGCAATGAAGAATGAATCTCTGCAAGAAATCAGTGTCAGGTCTGGCCTCTTAGTGGACGACTGTCCTGGTTCTTTGGCTCCTTGCTCGGAAGAATTGCAAGCAGGCTGGTGTGAAGGAACAGGAAGCAATTCCACAGACACAGCTTTTATTGCAGAAAAGAAGGAAGCTATACAAAAGGAGAGTATGTTCCAGAGAGAGGAACAGGTCAGTCTCCACAAGTGGAGAAAATGTTGAGGATTCCCAAGTGGTCTCCTTTTATTGGCCTGGTCTGGGGGAGGGCTTACGGGAGGTGTGGGATATGACCAAATGATTATTACACATGATTGACAGGTGTTCTTTCAAGATTGCATCCACTTATGCTCCAGAGGTGTGTAAATCTCAAATCAGATTCCTGGTTTTTCGTTTTCCTGCAGTATCTTTTCCTGATTGGCCCTCCGTTTCTCTGCCCCTAGGAGCCACCCTCTTGGCCTACAACTTCCACCTGCAGATTTGGTCCCTTCCTAACAGGAAAAAAAAGTATATGCTGTAGAAAACACAAACTAATCTACAGTGACACAAAGCAGATCAGTGGTTGCTTGGGGATGGGGGAAGAGCAGGATGGAGAGATTAAAAGGAAATGAGAGGTGACTTTGGAGAATGAGGAGCATGTTCATTATCTTGATTGTGATGATGGCCTCAAGAACACATACATAAAGCTAGGCACAGTGGCACACTCCTGTAATCCCAGCGACTCAAGAGGCTGAGGAAGGAGGATAGTTTGAAGTCAGGAGTTCAAGACCAGGCTGGGCAACAGAGCAAGACCTCATCTCTACAAAAAAGTAAAAAACAGGCCAGGCACAGCGGTTCATGCCCGTAATTTTGGTACTTTGGGAGGCCGAGGTAGGAGTATTGTTTGACGCCAGGGGTTTGAGACCAGCCTGAGCACAAGTAAGACCCCTGTCTCTACAAAAAAAAAAAAAACAGAAAAATTATCCAGGCATGGTAGCACATGTCTGTAGTCTCAGCTGCCTGAGAGGCTTGAGGCAGGAGGATCACTAGAGCCCAGAAGTTTCAGGTTGCAGTGAGGTATGATGACGCTACTGCACGCTAGCCAGGGTGAGAGCGCGAGACTTTGTCTCAAAAATAAAAACAATTAGCTAAGCATGGTGGTGCACACTCATATTCCCAGTTACTCAGGAGGCTGGGGCAGAAGGATATTTTAAGCTCAGGAGTTGGAGGTTGCAGTGATCTGTGATTGTGTCACTGTACTCCAGCCTGGGTGATAGTGAAATCCTGTCTAAAAGAAAATTAGTGGGCATGATAGTGCATGCCCATAGTCCCAGCTACTTGGGAGGCTGAGGCAGGAGGATCGCTTGAGCCTAGTTCAATGCTGCAGTGAGCTATATGATATGATGAGGCTACTGCATTGCAGGGTGACCCTCTCTTAAAAGAAAAAAGAATGCATACTTATGCCAAACTTTAAAAATTGAACACTTTAAAATATGTACAGCTTATTGTAAGTGAATTATACCTCAAGACTTAAAGGGGGGGGGCAAAGAGGAGAAATATGGGTCTAATATGCTAAAAAGTTTAGCAACTTAGAATTTTCACACAGATGACTACCCTAAGAGCTTCCTATTTTTAAAGATTTTGTGGGGAAACTATCAAGTAAAGAGTTTTAGATAAGTCCTTCTGGAAGGGAATCTTTCTTTAAGTGGACTACAAAATTATAAAGTTGGAAGAAGTATATTCAGTTAGTTTACAACTGCTAGGCTCAAGCTTCAAACATGGGTATTCTTTTTCAAAGTTTGAGTCCATTTTCAGAATTGGCTTTTCGGTCATCAAACAAAAAGAAAAGTTTGAAATTCTGTCAGAGATGTGGGATAAAAAAAATAAAAACAAAAATAATGGAGGTTTGAAAATTAATGACATCAACCAGGTCAGAAATGTAATCTAGGAAATACAAAACATACCCCTTAGATTATTGACATATTACAGGAAAACCCTGAGTAGAAATGGGACAAAAAGCTTCCTAGGTAAATTTTGTATGTTAATATGGATTTTCCATTCCTGCCTTTGTGCTTTGTTCAAGTGGGACAGGGTACATGCTCTACAGAATGCAAGTTTGGCGGTTCTGGCCTTACAATTTAATTCATGCAGATGGGATTTAAGAGTAGCTCTAAGTCGGACAGACCTGAATTCACATTCACACTCTGGTTGTGCTATTTACCACCTACTGACTTGGGGAAGAAGGTATTTAACCCTGTAAAACCAAAAAAATTTTCTTACAGGCAAAAGTAGAGAAATAAATAACATCTATTCATAGGACTGCAGATTAGCTACACTTTAGACACGTAACACGTTACTTTGTATATGGTCAGAATTTTCTATAAAAAATATGGTTGCGTTTTCTGATGTAACTTTTTTAAACCTAAAGCATTTTAGGAAGTGTTGAGATAGTATATATCTTTATATCACGTATCATGTATGTATCTCAGAAGAAAGGGCTTCCAAGAAACTGAAATTTGCTTAGACCAGGGGATGACAAAATTCCTATAAAGCACCGGGCACTATGTTTTAGGTTTTGTGAGCCACATAAGGTCCCTCTTTGCTTTTTTTTTCTTACAACTCTTTAAAAATGTAAAATCTCAGCTCTTAGGCCGTACAAGTAAGATACAGGCCAGATTTGGCCAGCAGGCTATAGTCTACTGATTCCTGGCTTAGAAATTTATAATAATATAAATAGAAATATAGTAGTGAAGGCTACATTGAAAATAATAGTTAACACTGTACAGCTCTTACTATGTGCCGGGCATATAGTTTTAACCCTTATAACAGAACTGAGATATTGTTATCAACATGGAAGACACAAGCAAAGTGAAGAACAGAGAGGTTAAACATCTTATCTGCAGTTACCCTGCTAGCAAATGGCTGAACTGAACAAGAATGTCTAACTCCAGAGTCTATTCTCTAACCATTACACTACACTGCTTTGTAACCAATATTCTGGTATGGTCTCTTTAACACTAGTTTCTCCTAAAATGCTTTGTGTTCTCTCAAGAAGCAAGGGAGGGCTGTGGTTCTTTATCATCTGAGAACTTTGCCAAACTTTCTGAGAAGTGGAGAATGAGAGGTAAACAGTATTAATAGATAAAGTAAAGCAATGCTGATCAATGGCATTAGTTGCACCCACAGGGTAGGAGAGCTTCCCAACTACACTTCACAAGGAACTGTTCCTTCATGTTAGCTGAACTAGTATCTGCAAGGAAACACTGACTGCAAAATTCTCACCTGGGGGATACACCTCCTTGGGTTTCTCTATCAGATAATTTTCTACATGGTCCTACTGGGATAACTTATTTGGTTTAAAGGACAGTTGATGCCCTGAGAATGGAAAAAGTTATAATGTTTGGGAGACTATGCCATTCAAAAATCACCTCTGGCATTAGTTGCCCAATACTCCCACTCTCTCCTTCCTTGAATGATAGAACCCCCAAGTTCTACCTGGATTCATGTCCACATTCCCCAGTAAATATACGGATGATACCGGGAGACAAATTTCCGATTCTTGGAGAATGAAGATGCAACATGGAATGGAGGAGAACTAGAAAAGAACACTATGATGTTGATTTATGAATTGGAGGTAAAAGTATGAACTCATAATTCATTCTTCCTACTTCCCTTCATAACTATCAATCACTCAGATCTTGATTTCTAAGTAGCATTCCCCAATCTGAGGAATCAGAGTTTGCAAACAGCAAATTCCATTTGTTGTTGTTTTTTGAGGGGGTGCTGGCAGGGAGAGTACAGGATGACCCTGGAACATCGGTTTGTGCCAGAGAGTAAGGATGTGCTCAAACTCAGGAAAAATGCACAATGGGCAAACAGGGCAGAAAGGAAACTCTTCCTTAACAGTAGAACAAATGAATACACTAACATATTGGAGGAATGATGTAGGTATAAAATCACCCTTTTGCAACCATCAGAGCAAAAACTGATTTAGGTCAGATTTAGCAGAGAATGCTAAAACCAATGGAAGAAAATTTGCTGAAAAACAAGCTATTTACAGAGCCAGAAGGTATCTCCCCACAAATTAATTAAAAAGGGAAAAACAGTAACTTCACAACGAAGAAATCCAGCACACTACCTACCCTAAATGAGTGATCCAAGTTGACCTCACCTATAACGGTACAAACATATGTTTCATTATATCATGCACCAAGGAACATTAGAATCCTCATGCCAAAAAATGCATAACTTAAATCCAAGCATGAGGAAACCTCAGGCAAATCCAAATTAAGAGACATTCTACAAAATAATGTCAAAAATATCAAGGTTATTAAAAACAGTAAATGAAGTAGTAATTCAGATTACAGGAATGTGTAATTCTTGACTGGACTCTAGCCCAGAAAAAATAATATATTATTGGGACGATTGACAAAATTTAAATAAGGTCTGTAGATCACATAGTGTTACATATCCTTATGATATTTTCTTGAATGTTGCACTGTAGCTGTATAAGTAAATACCCTTTGTACTGGGAGAACACAGTTAAGTATTTTGTGTCAGGGAAAAGATATCTGTAAAAAAAGATGTCTGTAACATAACTCACATGGGTAAAAAAAAGCAAACATATGCACAAGTATGTATGTGCATGTGTATATACACACTTATATATGTGGAGAGAATGATAAACATTTTAACAACTGGTGAATTTGGGTAAAAGGTATATGGGAGATTTTATATAACTTTCATCATTTTTCTGAAAGCTTTAAACTTCGAAATAAGTTTAAAGAAATGTAAAAATATATGAAGCAAAATTTCATTATGTAGAGATAACTAGAAATACCTAAATATCTATGCTTTTTAAAAAATAAGATTACATAAAAAGATGTTTTATTTTTCCAGGTTAATATATTGAACATCTTCCAATATCCATAATCAAAAATTTACCTTTTCCCATTTGACATTTGCATAGTGTTCCATTAGATTGGTATACCATAAGATACTTTGACAATCCAACTGATTATTTCTATGTTTGCTATTAAAACAATGATGCACTGAACATCTTTTTAGAATATATATATATATCTCTGGCGGACACAAATTTACTTCTGAAGATCAAAAATTCATCTCTGGGGATCTAGTCCTTAATTTTTAACCCTATGTACCATATCAAATATTATGAATATTAGGAATTTTTTAGTCAGTAATTTTATTCATTTGTATAGCTTTACAGCTTTAGTAAAAAAAAAAAAAAAAAAAAAAAAACCTGTAAATATAAAATGAAAGGAAAAATAATCCCAAACCCTCCCTGACCAAAAAACCAGTTAGTATATGGCAAATATCCTTTCTCACATTATCTTCAGGCAATATATTCACATTGACAGATGATTGTTTATACTAATTGGATCTTACCAAGAGGGTCACAATTTATATTTCTCCCCTAAATGGGGAGAAATATACTCTATACTCTACTCCTCTTACTATGGCTTTGTTAGAAAGACTCTGAGTCTGAAGAATCCCTTTCCTCACTCAATACTTTCACAGGTTTTAACACCAGCTCCAAAAACTTGAAGATGGGCATTCTGACAAAACTTGGTAACACAATTCTCATTTCTAAAGGTTTTTGCCAGTATGGACTTTCTGATGATATATAAGACGTGAACGGTGCCGGAAGTCCTTATCACATATATCACATTTGTATGGTTTTTCTCCAGTGTGGACTCTCTGATGGGCTTGAAGACGTGCTCTCTGACCGAAGCCCTTACCACATTCTTCACATTTAAAAAGTTTCTCCCTGATGTGAACACCCAGATGGACTCGAAGATTTGAGGGAAGACTGAAGGCCTTACCACATTTCTCACATATATGGGGTTTCTCCCCTGTGTGGACCCTCTGATGATGGCGAAGATTCAAGTTCCTACCAAAGCCTTTCCCACACTGCTCGCATTTGTAAGGTTTTTCTCCAGTGTGGCCTCTCTGATGGTATATAAACTGTGAACTGTATCTAAAGCCCTTTCCACACACATCACATTTGTAGGGCTTTTCCCCAGTGTGGACTCTCTGATGGGACTGAAGACCAGAGGACTGACTGAAGCCCTTCCCACATATACTACATTTGTACGGTTTCTCTCCAGTATGGACTCTCTGATGTACTCGAAAATCTATGGCCTGACTGAAGCTTTTATCACACTCCTCACATTTATAGGGTTTTTCTCCTGAGTGAACTCTCTGATGAGCATAAAGATTTGATCTCCAACTGAAGCCCTTCCCACACTCCTCACATTTATATGGTTTCTCTCCAGTATGAATTACTTGGTGCAGTTTAAGATTTGAACTATAACTGAAGTCTTTACCACACACACCACATTTATATGGCTTCTCTCCAGTGTGGACTCTCTGATGGGTTTGAAGCTTTGAGGACTGACTGAAGCCCTTCCCACATGTTTCACATTTGAATCGTTTCTCTCCAGTGTGGACATTCTGATGGACTTGAAGGTTTGAAGCTTGACTGAAGCCCTTGCCACACTCCTTACATTTATAGGGCTTCTCTCCTGTGTGAACTCTAAAATGGATGTGAAGGTCTGTATTACGGGTGAAACCTTTCCCACACGCCTCACATTTGTATGGCTTCTCTCCAGTGTGGACTCTCCGATGGCATATTAAGGGTGAATTGTGACTGAAGCCCTTCCCACACACATCACATCTGTAGGGTTTCTCCCCAGTGTGGACTCTTTGATGTATGTGAAAATGTGCTGCCTGAGTGAAGCCCTTCCCACACTCCTCACATTTATAGGGTTTCTCACCCCTGTGGACTCTCTGATGGACACGGAGATTCACACTCCAACCAAAGCCCTTACCACACTCTTCACATTTGTATGGTTTTTCTTCAGTGTGGACTCTCTGATGGCATTGGAAATTTGAACTTTGACTAAAGCATTTACCACATTCCTCACACTTATAAGGTTTCTCTCCGGTATGCGTTCGGTAATGAATGATAAGACCTGTGCTACTACTGAATCCCTTGCCACAGCTGTCACACCTGTAGGACTTTTCTCCTGTATGATTAGATTGGTAAGATGGAAAAGAACTCCTACTGAGGCAATCACCAGATTCATGACATTTATCAGGTTTCTCTCCTGGGTGAATTCTCTGAGTTTGCAGACGTAAGCTTTGACTGAAGCATTTCTCTATGTGAACATTCAGATGCAGGGGAAGCACTGAGCTGTAACTGAAGCCTTTTCCACACTCACCACGTGGTTGGGTTTTCTCTAAGGGTAATTGCTGATTGGAGCCATCACTAGTGTTCTTGCCACATTCATTATATTTGTAGGATTTTTGTTCTGTGTCAATTTTAATATGCTCACTAAATGGTGATTTCTTCATGAAGTCTTCACATATGTGCAAGTTATTTTTCACATAAATTCTTTTACCTCTGCTCTGATTCTGTGACTCATTCAGATATGTATTCACCTGAGAATCCTGGGTTTTGAAAATTGAAAATTCTTGATTTTCAATATAAATAGAGCTGTCTCCTTTATGATTCATTATAGTGTTCACATTTTCAGAAACCTGAACAGAGTCACCTTGCAGTAAGTGGGAACTCTTTCTCAGAAAACACCTGGTTAATTCACTGGCAACTTGTTTCCAGATTTGCCAGCAGGATAGCTCTTCATGTGAAAGGTATTTTAAGGCGAATTTTTGAAAAGTCTCCATTTTATTTTGATTCTTACTGCCTATTAAAAAAAAAAAAAGCAATATTCAGAAGTGACAAGTAAATGCTTTGTTCAGAAATATCAGGATTTCACACTTAGGCCATGGCAGAAGGCCTTAATAAATCAGGGGAAGGGTCACATTGTCCTTTGGGTACAAGCAAAGAGTGGGGTCAACAGGCTCCTAACCACTAAATGTAAATGTGTTACATTTAGAATCATAAGTCTAACAATTTACTATGAAAACTAAAAGCCTGAAATTAGATGGCTGCAGGGCAACAAAAGACAATCCACATTCCAACCTACATCAATAAATGCTTACTTATCTTTTCCTCAGTTGGTGTATGACGAGAGGGATTCTACTACCTAATTAGGTTAGAAAAGTTCAGAATGTGGGCATAAAATAGTATTTTAAGTCCTGACAGAAATTGTCTTCCAAGAGTAAGTTTGGGGAAAGCAATTGGAATAACAACATACATTGTTCTAAAACCTGGTGGAAATCCAGGTCTCTGTACAAGAAGTAGAAAAGGGAAAGCTAATCTTGTACAAGAAAGAACTTGAGAGAGGAAAGAAATAGAGCATAGTGCAGACTCCCAAAGCCAACCCTGAAAAGTAAGAGAAGGAGAGCTACATTCAGCTTAGGAAGCTTTCTGCTAGAGAGCTGAGACGCCTGCTTATTCTCCCACTCCTTTCAGGTTTATGTTCAGGATGTAAAATATAGTTCTTATTGAGGGTCATGGTACAAAATATAAGAAAGACCCTGGCTTAAAATGTTTAGGGGGTAGGGGTTACCAAGTCCTTAATCAGATAATTAATTTGCTCAAATGGAAAGGTATATTCTAGTAATACAAACACTGAAAAAAATATCAGCAGATATGTACACATTTCTGGATATAGCAGGTTGAATAATGACCTTCTCAAAGATGTTCATATCCTGAACCCTAGAACCTGTGAATATGTTAATGTACATGGCAAAAAGGACTACACAGATGTGATTAAATTAAGGGTCTTGAGATGGTAGATTGCCCTGGATTATCGAGATAAGCCCAAAGTACTCACAGCAATCCTTATAAAAGGGAGGCAGCAGGCAAACCTCCCAGATTTCACTCTATGCATCTCTCCCTTTTGCTGGTTCTAATTTGTACCCTTTTTGCTATAATAAACCTATAATTATAAAAATAGCACTTTCCTGAGTTCTATGAGTCATTCTAACAAATTATCACAGGAACCCCCAAATTTGTAGCCAGTTGGTCAGAAGTGAGCCCAATTATCTGGGAATCCTCAAACTTTTTTTTTTTTTTTGACACAGAGTCTCACTCTGTTGCCCAGGCTAGAGTGCCATGGCATCAGTGTAGCACACAGCAACCTCAAACTCCTGAGCTCAAGCAATCCTTCTGCCTGAGCCTCCTGAGTAGCTGGGACTACAGGCATGCACCACCATGCCCAGCTAATTTTTTTTCTGTGTAGTTTTAGTTGACCAATTAATTTCTTTCTATTTTTTTGGTAGAGACAGGGTCTCACTCTTGCTCAGACTGGTTTCGAACTCCTGATCTTGAGCCATCCTCCTGCCTCAGCCTCCCAGAGTGCTAGGATCACAGGCGTGAGCCACCCTGCCTGGCCTAGAATCCTCAAACTTTTCCAGCTGGTGTTGAGGGCAGACCTATGGTGGACTATGCCCCCAACCTGTCAAGTATGGCCTAACTTCTGGTGTTTAGTGTCAGAAGTCATTGCAACACACAAACAGCTTCTCACATTGTCTGTGCTACCAGAAAAGATTAATACCATTAGGATGCAAATTATACAGGAAAAATGATTTAGAAATTCTGTAATTTTCTTTTCCTAATCAGAACTCTAATCTCCACAGGCATGTCAGTGCCTTTGGACTTCTGGAAATGTCCAATTCAAAACTTCTAAATAGGCCGGGCACGGTGGCTCATACCTGTAATCCTAGCACTCTGGGAGGCCGAGATGGGCAGATCGTTTGAGCTCAGGAGTTCCAGACCAGCCTGAGCAAGAGCAAGACCTCATCTCCACTAACAAAAAAAAAACAAAAACTTCTAAATACTGTATGTAGCTTACATAATTGTTTAGGTATTAGAAGGAAGGGAAAGTGGGAAGCTGGCTGTATGAATGAGGCTGTTTTCACCAATGAGAAGCCAAGTTGAAATTGCTACAAGGGAACTGATGATATGTAATGCCTGCTATATTAGCATTGATAATTTTCGACAGTGTAGTTATACACTTTAATAACTGAATAGCATTTATCTTCTAAGGTTAGTGGGTTTGAAACTTTACATATCCAAAGATGTCTAAGAAATTAGGATTATGTTAGACATTCACTGGAACACAATGTTACAAAATAATCCGTTAATCACACTTAAAATGTTTAGGGGGTAGGGGTGGTGAGGAAACCAGGTCAGGTAGGGTCTTGCAGTCTTGTAGAACAACTTTAAGTGAAATGGGAAGGCTGTGGAAGGTTCTGAGCAGAGGAATGGCATAATCTATTTGTGCTTTTCAAAGAACTACTCTGGGCCGGGCGCGGTGGCTCACGCCTGTAATCCTAGCTCTCTGGGAGGCCGAGGCGGGCGGATTGCTCAAGGTCAGGAGTTCAAAACCAGCCTGAGCAAGAGCGAGACCCTGTCTCTACTATAAATAGAAAGAAATTAATTGGTCAACTAAAAATACATAGAAAAAAAATTAGCTGGGCATGGTGGCGCATGCCTGTAGTCCCAGCTACTCGGGAGGCTGAGGCAGAAGGATCGCTCTAGCCCAGGAGTGTGAGGTTGCTGTGAGCTAGGCTGACGCCACGGCACTCACTCTAGCCTGGACAACAAAAAAAAAAAAAAAAAAAAAAGAACTACTCTGGCTACCGTGGAAAGAATGGATTACAGGAATGCAAAAGAAGAACCATGGAGACCACCATGAGTGCTGCTGTCATAATCCAGGCAAGCGATGACAGCACTTGGACAAGGGTGGCAATCACAGACATGGCAAGGTGCAGACTAGCTAGTACCTGAAAGAACGGCTGCATGGTTCTCACCAGAATGCTCACTTCTTTGGGTTTCTGTTTCCATTTTCCAAAGCTTTTCTTCCACTTCCAACTGGGATACCATATCTGCTTTGAAGGGAAGATGTCCTATGAAAAGGTAGAGATACATATACTTAAGATGAACACACAACCAAAATATATTTTTGTTCATATCCTATAATCCTCAGAACCTCTAAAGTGATATTTTAAGAACTTTCTGGATCAGGAACTGTAATAAGAAATTTAGGTCTACAATGGAATACTACTCAATAAAAAAAAAAAAAAAGAAATTTAGGTCATGGCCTAGTTCATGTATATATATAGATCAAATTAGATTTAGGCAACATCTGTTTTCCTTACATTTCTAACATTGTATCTCACATCACTCAATGAAAAATGGTCACAGTTTTTTTTGTAATATAAGTAGTTCTTGATAAGGAACTCTGATACTTTCTATCCTTTCTTTTTTATTTTATTTCATGGAAAAAATATCAGTATAATGCACTAAGTTGATTTCATGACCCACCAATGGTCACAACCATAATTTGAAAGACAAAACATAGAAGTTGTCCATTTACAGTCCATTTAAAACAGGGTTTCTCAACTGCGCCTCTACTATTTTGGACTGGCAAATTCTCTGTCGTGGGGGCTGATCTGTGTATTGTAGGGAATTTAGCAGCATTCCTGGCTACTACCCACTAGATACCAACAGTACCCCTCCCTCAGCTGTGACAACCGTCTCCAGACATTGCCAAATGTCCTCTGGGGACAAAAATCACCCTTGATTGAAAACCAGCAATTAATTAATTATTTTTTTTGGGGGGGGGGGACAGAGTCTTACTTTGTTGCCCAAGCTAGAGTGAGTGCCGTGGCGCCAGCCTAGCTCACAGCAACCTCAAACTCCTGGGCTCAAGCAATCCTGCTGCCTCAGCCTCCACAGGCATGCGCCACCATGCCTGGCTAATTTTTTGTAATTACATATTTTTAGTTGGTCAATTAATTCTTTCTATTTTTAGTAGAGATGGGGTCTCGCTCAGTCTGATTTTGAACTCCTGACCTCGAGCAATTCGCCCGCCTCGATCCCCCAGAGTGCTAGGATTACAGGCAAAACCCAGCAATTTAAAAGGACAGAATTGACCAGGCGTCGTGGCTCACGCCTGTAATCCTAGCACTCTGGGAGGCCAAGACGGTGGATCGCTCAAGGTCAGGAGTTCGAAACCAGCCTGAGCAAGAGCAAGACCCCATCTCTACTAAAAATAGAAAGAAATTAAGTGGCCAATTAAAAATATATAGAAAAAATTAGCCGGGCATGGTGGCGCATGCCTGTAGTCCCAGCTACTCAGGAGGCTGAGGCAGAAGGATGGCTTGAGCCCAGGAGTTTGAGGTTGCTGTGAGCTAGGCAGACGCCACGGCACTCTAGTCCAGGCAACAGAGTGAAACTCTGGCTCAAAAAAATAAAAATAAAAATAAATAAAAGGACAGAATTATGCCTGAGCCAAAAGACCAGAAACATCTATCCCTGTTATCCCAGCAATTAGAACAACTTTTGTCTTCAAGAGCAGGGAACCATTTTGAAAGCTCCAAAGCATTGAACAACTAAGCACACAGGGACGCTTAAAGGAGTTGAAGTTAAGTGTCAGATGGTGCCTGTCCTCACCCACTGCAACCAGGTTCTTGAAATTCTCTACCATCACATCTCGGTACAGCTTCCTCTGGGCAGGGTCCAGCAGCCCCAGCTCCTCCCTGGTGAAGACCACAGCAACGTCCTTGAATGTCACTGCCTCCTACAATATCAAGCACATGTAACCTCAATCTTACAACCAACCTCCATTGAAAGAAGGGCAGCAGGGTGGGGATGTAGCTCAGTGGTAGAGCACATGCATTGTATGTATGAGGCCCTGGGTTCAAACCCCACCCATTAAAAAAAAAAAAGGCAGCATCATGTAGGATAAAGACCCTTGCAAACCAAATGTTACAGATTCTGAGAGCCCAATTTTTAGTTCCAACAGTTATCCCCTCTCACTGTCTGCTTCCCTCATCTCCATAAAGCCTGGACTTTATCACTTGTTTTTAATGTTTCCAAAGTTCACAGGCCTTTAGCAACCCTTCAGAACAGATATATATTAATAGCTCTTCCTCTGTGTTTTCAAGGCACATGCCATATCCACCTATTGCAGCGTTCACAGCTAACTGAGGAACAGGATCTACAGTCAGGCTGTCTGATAACAAATTTCAAAGTTATGCCCTTTAAGAGTTACAGGACCTTGGGCAAATTCCTTAATCTCTCACTATCTCAATTTCCTCTTCTCTATGATGGTATCTAAATCACAATGTGTTTCAAAGGATTAGATGAGTGACTATATTAATATATAAGGCACTTAGTTAGAATGGTGCCAGGCATATCACAAGTGCTCAATAAATTTGAACAATTAATACCATAATATCGTAATGATCTCTTTCATCCCATTTTGTGATTGCATAGAATAGTCCTTGGAACAGATGATTTATCTTTAATTAATCCAAATAATACATCAATATAATTAATTAGAGATTTTAATTTATAATCAGTACCGTAAAGATCCTTTTACAGAGGAGATCTTAGCCAAGAAGTAGAAATTACAAAGTCATGGAATATTTACTTTTAAAATTTTGAAAGCATAATGGCATATTTTCCTCTCAAAAGGTTTTCCCAATTTACTTTTCACATAAGAGTACAAGTGTTCCTGAATCTCTAGACCCTGAGGAAACAGGACTTAGTTTCTTTTTCTACAGAAACTTGACAATCTAGGAATAATAAACATAAACAAAAAGCTCTTTTTTATTAATATTTCACACATTTTATTATTAATAAAGATCATTTTTTGCATAAATTTGTTTCCTTTTTTATGACAGTCCTATTCATTTCTTTTGCTTATAATCTAGTTGGGTTTTTCCTCATTTTGTTAATCTTACCAGGAATTTAAACTATTAAACCTTTACCTAATGTTTAAGTGTATCTCACCAGTTGGCTATTGTCTTTTACCATTGTGCCCAATAGCTTTTGCTGCAGGGAAATTTAAAACATTTAAATATCAAAAGTGTGCTTGAGCATGGAGGTTCATGGAATGACTAGGAGATAAAACTAGAAGAGAAGAGACAGGCACTCAGATGGGACCTGGATAATGGGCATGGCTGGGGTCCACCCTCCAAAAGGTCATGTCAGAAACTTCCATGATATACGCACAGGTCTCTAAATGAAAAAAATCTATTGCTTTGTCTCCTTTTCATTAAAATGGAATGCCAGGTATTCCTAACCTAATAGAAACTTCAGAGTCCAATAAATTGGCTACCTGGGAGAATTTGGACAGTTATAAGATCTCCCCATAAGTCACCTCCATCATCACTCAGTGCTCTGAGGAATAATGCAATGAAGGACAGAAAGGGCTGGCAAGACATTTAAGTACTAGACCTTAAACTATGTACATATAATTGCGTTGATGAAATAAATTAACACAAGAAAGAAAATAGATGAGTGATGAAAACATACACACATAGGAAGAAAAAAATAGCTCTTCACTGAAAACATCTAATATTAATTATATTACACCAAGTCATACTTGGATGTTCTAACACCTAAGGGAACCAACATGAAATTTAAGACATGAACCTCTTCAATTTAGAATTCTTAAAACTTTAAGGACAAACAATGCGGAATTCCACTAGAACTCCTTTTTGAGGATAAAAATTGTATGTAGAAAAAGTATAGCTGCATTTACTTTAAAGTAGTAAAATTATCAAATTCTCTGAAAGTCTGAATAAGGAATAGCTTTTGTGTTTGTTTTTTTTTTAAAGGATATTGCAATTCAACTTAAAATGCAAGTGCCGTAATTAAATGAAGAAATCACAATTTAAACTTTCATTTATTCCTGTATTGCAAATACAGAGTTACAAATCCGTATGAAAAAGAATTATGGGAGAGTAAAAAAAGCTGATTTATAAGCAGGGCAGTAGCATAGATTATTTTAAAGTTTCTATTATTTTTCTTCAAAGATTGTTTTGTAAAATAATAAAGGTGATAAACTAAAACAAACAAAACATACACACGTCGGCCATACAACATGCACTGTTTTCCTTAATCTTCCCAAGGAAGATAAAAAAATATGCCTAATCTTTAAGAAATAAAATCACACTTTAAGAGGCAGAAAGGAATACCTTACATACCTGAAACTTGGTCATTTTCTCCTGCTCCTTTTGGGGAAGGTCAGAGTCATGAGAAGGCATAACTGGAGAAGACCAAAGAAGTCGTGAGAGTCAGGCCAGAGCTGCAATTAGCTCATGTGGATCTCTGTAGGACTTTTATATGAGTGGCCCTACATCCAGACAGATGCAGCCACATCCAGCTTGATAAGCAGAACATGGACTGAATTCCAGCTACTAACAGGACTATCAGCACAATGTCACCGGACAGTGAACAATCTGCATAGGCAAATGCAATATCCCTACTTATAGATTCCTGATCATAGGGATGGTAGGAAATGGAAGAGTATAATAGCACGTGGGATAAAAAAAAAAAAAAAAGTGGGCTCTAGAATCAAGTGCCTAGGTTTAATTCCTAGAAATGATACTTATCACCTGTATAACCTTAGGGATATTAAAAAACCTCTGTACCTCAATTCTGTCAACTGTACAATGAGAATAGGATAAGAATTTAAATCGTACCTACCTCATAGGGTTGTTCCAAGGATTAAGTGAGTAGGTGGAAAGTTCTAAGAACCAGGAATCCCTTTCCGCTACAAAAAAAGCAAATGATTATAGAATTGATTAGGGGAGAGGAAAATTAAAAAAAAAGGCAGATGATATACACTGTGCTTGCAAATATTGCTTTCCTATGAAAGTCACCTTTAATTCCTGAAAAGCCTAATTTTGACTTAAAATTTCTTCTTACTTAGTAATTTGTTGCCCAGGTAGTAATATTTTATTGACACTGGTATCAGTATTCTAGAAAGTATTATTTCAGGTCAATTTACTTCACGAAGCCAGAAAAGATCACTGGTAAATCCCTTTTATCATATGTGCATGGAGATAAAGAAAAACACATAGCAAAGAGAAAGATAAAGAACAAACAAAAAGAAAAATCAAGAAACATGAAAGATAAATTGAAAGGCTCTGACATTTGTCAATAGGAATGTGAGAAGAGAAGAATGGAGGAAATGATAGTGTTATTAATAATTTCAAGAGGAAATTATTGAGAATTTCCCACAATTGATAACAGACATGAGTTCACATAGAGGAATTCTTAAGAGTACAATTAAAAAATACATATACTCCTAAACAAAACAAATCATAGTAAAACTCAGGAATGTAAAAGACTAAAAAACAAACACAAAGAACTGAAAATAACAAAAACAATCTTCAAGCTCAAAGAAGAAATAGTTTACCTAAAAGAAATGACAATTAGAATGACAGAAACAGGGTAATAGAAAGAGACTTAAAAGAAGTGACTATTATCTCCAGAGTAAAGAAACAAAATAATTGTCAACCCTGAAGTCTATGTTCAACTAAATATTTACATGAGGAAGAAACAATATTTTAGCTGAACAAAAGTGAAGAAAAGTTATAACTATATGAACCCTGAAAGATGGACTTCAAGAAGCAATGGTGGCTGGGTGCAGTGGCTCACGCCTGTAATCCTAGCACTCTGGGAGGTTAAGGATTACTCAAGGTCAGGAGTTCAAAACCAGCCTGAGCAAGAGCGAGACCCCGTCTCTACTATAAATAGAAAGAAATTAATTGGCCAACTAATATATATGGAAAAAATTAGCCAGGCATGGTGGCGCATGCCTGTAGTCCCATCTACTTGGGAGGCTGAGGCAGCAGGATTGCTTGAGCCCAGGAGATTGAGGTTGCTGTGAGCTAGGCTGACCCCATGGCACTCACTCTAGCCCGGACAACAAAGCAAGACTCTGTCTCAAAAAAAAAAAAAAAAAAAAAAAAGAAGCAATGGTAAAATATTTGTAAATAGGCCGGGCGCGGTGGCTCACGCCTGTAATCCTAGCTCTCTGGGAGGCCGAGGCGGGCGGATTGCTCGAGGTCAGAAGTTCGAACCAGCCTGAGCAGGAGCGAGACCCGTCTCTACAATAAATAGAAAGAAATTAATTGGCAACTAATATATATATATAAAAAAAATTAGCCGGGCATGTGGTGAATGCCTGTAGTCCAGCTACTTGGGAGGCTGAGGCAGCAGGATTGCTTGAGCCCAGGAGTTTGAGGTTGCTGTGAGCTAGGCTGATGCCATGGCACTCACTCTAGCCTGGGCAATAAAGTGAGACTCTGTCTCAAAAAAAAAAAAAAAAAAAATATTTGTAAATATACTGGCAATATAATAATCTTTGTTTAAAAAAAAAACTCCAAGAATTATATGATAAATTTTGAGGGTGGTTATTATAAACATAGACTTACAACCTAGCCTACATTAAAACAAACAAACAAAAAGAGTACATCATCTAATTTTAAGTATTTTTTAGTCTCTATAGTTTTCAGAATAAGAATACATTTATTCTTATTCTTCAGAATAAGAATAAATTTAGCATTGAGAAAGATAATAATTTTTAAAAGTTAAAAGAATGACCTAAGACCAAATTCCAAACCAGTTGAGCACAAATAAAGGAAGCAATGCAAAAAAACAAAACAAAGCTATAAAAAAAAAATAAGAAAAAGAAAGCAATGCAAAGCATGTAAACAAACACAGAGTAGAAATATATACATACATGTTAACAAACAGATTACCCCAGACTGCATTAAAAATAAAAATCCAACTATATGCTAAGAGACAGTACTAAAACTTGACAAAAAAAGTCTGAACAAAAAGGATTAATATACTGATTAAACACCAAAAGAAAGCTTTGGTTTCAGAGATCATGGTAGAATTTAAGAAAAGGTGACCTGATGTTTGGGATATGTTTAAAATACTCCAGTCAAAAAACAGGGGACGCAGATAGTTTGCAACAGATGTTGAAACTAAGTATTGTTGACGTGGGATTCACTATACTATTCTCTTTACAGTTGTATATGCTTAAAATTTTCCCTATTAAGAAGAAAAAAAAACTACATAGAATACCAAACCCATTTAGAGAAATATCCATAACAAATACTAAAGAAAAACATATTTTTATTATAAGTAATTTTTTGTTGGTTCATTTTATATTTTCTATGTTATCTATAACATTACTGTCAAATATTGAGTCACATATGTAATTTTAAATATTCTAGCAGTGCCATTTTAAAAGGGAAAAAAAACCAAAAAAACAAGTTAATTTTAACAATATATTTTATTTAAGTCAACTTATCCAAAATATAATAATTTCAACATGTAATCAATACAAAATATTACTGATGAGCCACCTTACATTTTTTGTACCATCTTTAAAATCCACTGTGTATTTCACATTTACAGACCATCTCAATTTGGACTAACCAAGTGTTCATCAGGTACACATACATGGCTTATAGCTACTAGATTGGATAGCGTACCTCTAACATCAGCATTAATTTCTTCTATTAACTAGGATATGACACATTTGACATGGAATGAAATTAAATAAATGAAATCTTTTAGAATTTTTTCCTAAACCTCCAAAATTCATCACTGTAGCTTTTCCAGGTCTCCCACAGTAAAGTTCACATCTACTTTCCCAGGGCTGATTTCAAAGGACTCCCATTTAGTCACATGGATTACCATTTAGGATAACTGAAGGTGATCATATTACTGGTGTTAAGATCACAGGCTCTTAAAAAACACTACTTGGGTTCAATTCCAAATCTACCTCTTAATATTAAGTTGAATGACTTTGGGAAAGTAACATAAGCTCTCTCTACCTTATTTTTCTCATCCTTAAAATATGGATAATAGCATGTCAACAGAAAAGAAGCCAAACTCTGTAAAATAATTTTTTTTTTTTTGAGACAGAGTCTCACTCTGTTGCCTGAGCTAGAATGCCATGGTGTCAGCCTAGCTCACAGCAACCTCAAACTCCTGGGCACAAGCAATCCTTCTGCTTAAGCCTCTCGAGTAGCTGGGACTACAGGCATGCACCACCATGCCCAGCTAATTTTTTCTATATATGTTTTTAGTTGGCCAATTAATTTCTATTTTTAGTAGAGACGGGGTCTTGCTCTTGCTCAGACTGGTTTCAAACTCCTGACCTTGAGCGAGCCTCCCGCCTTGGCCTCCCAGAGTGCTAGGATTACAGGCGTGAGACACCTCAGCTGGCCTGTAAAATAACTTTAAAGTGATTTATTCTGAGCCAAATTTGAGGACCATGACTGGAGCCACGGCCAAGAATCCTTGAGCAAGTGGACTTGCCATGGTTGGGTTACAGTTTGGTTTTATAAATTTAGGGAGACAGGGGTTACAGGTAAAGTCATAAATCAATACGTGGAAGGTGTACCTTGGTTTGGCTGGGAAAGGTGGGCCATCTCGAAGTGGCGGCTTACAGGTTACAGGTGGGTTTGAAGATTTTTTGGCTTGTAATTGGTCAAAGGCATGAAGCCTTGTCTAAAGGCTTAGAATGTTTTAAGATAATGAGGTCTGTTAATCAGGGACCAGCCACCAGACATATATTTGTTGTGTAATTTGAGGACCCATAGGTTTGTCTTGCATACCCTTAGGCCTGTTAATGGGTTATAGAGAATATCTCCAAGAAGGGAGGGGGTGATGTCTGACCTCCCTCCTCCTGGGAGGCGATTTAGTTCTAGGATATCCTCTTGGCCAAGAAGGGGTCCATTCAGTAAGCTGATGGGGGGGGGGGCTAACATTTTATTTTAGTTCACAAGCAAAACCTACTTCCATATAGACCATAAAAAATGCCTTAAAATCTAAATGGTAAGATGTTATTAATAATTCTCATTGCTAAGTACTCATTCTCACATTTACTCAACAAATGTTTCATCATTTTCCAGTAGTAATTTACTACTGAGTGAAGGAAACTTGATTAACTAAAAGGAGAAACGACAAAACAGGTACATTCAGTAGTATGTACCTGCAGCTATGCTGTGAGAAGCCAAGAAGTTTCTCCTTCCTCCTCTTTCTGCATTCAGGGGCGGTGAAGAAAAGGCTTCGTGAAAAGGTCGTGGTGAATTGGCACGAATGAGTCTATGTCCCGGATAAACCGCAGTGAACACCCTCAGGCACTGGTGCAGGATCACTCAATCCCTCCTTAAAAAAAAAAAAAAAAGAAAATCAGTAAAAGTTCGGGAATGGTCTCCTAATGGATGTGACAGAGGACCGTGGCATTCTCCTTGAGCCCTGACCTTATTTCTCTCTTCACTGGGGCTTCCAGTAAAAACGGCGTTTGTGAGGAAATAACTGTATCAATACCAAACTGGTATCAGCTGCTGCCACTGTTCTTAGCTTTTGAAATATATTGTCTCATTTACTTCTAGTGACATCCCTACCCAGTGCCTACTATCTTATTCTTATTGCTATTTTACACATGAGGAGACTGGAGCGCAGAGGTAGCAGTAAATAACTGGCTACGTATCACACCGATACAAGTAGCGCTGCTCCGTAAGCAGGGCAGGAGCAGAGGGAATCCGAACTTCCGGCCTCCGCCGGCGGCCGCGACTTCTCCATCCTAAGACTGCCGGCTGGGTAGCGAACAGTCCCACGCTCGGCTGAAAAGGCTCGAGTGGTCGTGGGGGTGCAGGGTTGACTCACCTCCCGGACCGAAAGATGGTGGCGGCTTCGCTTTCCCAGGGAGGAAGTGGCTCTGAGTACCTGGAGGCCCTGAACTACACTTCCCAGAAGCCCCGAGGGGAACAGGAGCCACAGCCCCCCGGTCCGGCAGCCCAATTGTTTCCGGACAGAATTGTGGACTACATTTCCCAGAACTCCCAAGAGAAGGAAGAACCATCTGTGTCCCGCCCTCCTGTCCTCTTAGAGATTAAAAACAGAGGGAGCGAGCGCGCACGTGTGTGAGACCAAAAAAACATTCGAGGGGTTTCCCCCGGACGACATCCAGAATCCCCTTCGTGGCTTCCTGTCATTTTTGTTCTCCTATTCCAGTAGAGTTTAGCTTTTTCCCACTTACAAATAAACAAAAACATCAGTATATATGTGAAGAATCGGAGCCCTAAAAAAAGAGACGACTGTAAGAAACAGATTGTATGATCTTTTACTAATAAAATTATACCCACCACTTTCCAAAAAAAGGGGAAAGCCTTAGTTTTTACATTTAACAAGATTAATAGGAAAAGTACTTTGAGATACGAAAAGAATGAAAGACAAAAAAAAAAAAAAGCAACGTAGGCAGAATATATTGTGGATTTCTACTTTTATTAATAGCACAAATAATTTAGAACTTGCCCACTGAGGGTAACTAGACATTGTGTGAAAACAAGCTTTGGCATAGACTTGTATGATCAACTTTTCAAAGCAATTGTAATCATTCTTCATGGAGTTTCTGAATTTGAAAGATGGGCAAATTTCTTAATTCAAGGCCTACGCCATGGTCATTACGGACTATTAAAATTAGGTGGGTGTGGTGCCCCACCCCCTGTAGTCCCAGTTACTTGGGAGACTGAGACAGGAGTATCGCTTGAGCCCAGGAGTTCCAGGATACAGTGAGCCATGATTGGGCCACCGCAATCCAGGCTGGGTGATAGAGCAAGATGCTCTTAAAAAAAAATAAATAGTTAAAATAAAAATAAAGATTATTATTATTTGCTCAGATGTGTGACACAATTGATGTTTCAAAGAAATGTGGGTTGGAAGAAGAAAGCAATACCTAAAAATATCCACATATCCACTAAAATAACATTTGTAGTTCTCATTTACTGAATATGTATTCTTTATTCTACTATGCACAGCTGTCTGTTATGGAGCACCTAATGTGTGCCAGGAACTATTCTAAACTATTTAGACTCTAGGACCCTCACTCCATTTTCACAATGACTTCTTACAGTAAATATTATTATTTCTTCTATTTTACTGGTTAGAAACCAGAGGCAGAGAGAGGTGAAGTAATTCATCCCATGTTACTAAGTTATTATGCACTAGAACCAGTAGGAGTTGGTCCTTTGAAGAATTTACTACAAACAGCTGTTCTGCCCACTGTCCTCTGCTGCAAGTAGCAGGATGCAATTCTTCACCTGCCAGTTTGGCCCACAAAGAACTGAAGAGAGCAGGTGGAAGGGGGTCAGCTATCCCCGTTCATAAAAACCCTCACTAAGCCTCCTTCTGTGCTGACTCTCTTTTCAGACTCAGCCCACCTGCACACGGGTGAATAAAGCAGCCATGTTGCTCTCACATAGCCTGTGTGTGACATGTGTCCTTTGGGTCATTCATTCACCCTTTCAGTGTAAAAGAAACGTACAGCATAGGGATTATTAACACAGATTTGGGTTATGAATTCCTTGGATTCAAATGGCAGTTCTGCTTCTTACTCACTTCACTGTAAGTCTTGGGAAAATAACATATACTCCCTAAGAGAAAATGGGGAAAAAAATACTCTTTCTTTGCCAAAAGGGCCTGTTTTACCTTTCTTTCTTTTTTTTTTTTTTTTTTTGAGACAGAGTCTCACTTTGTTGCCCAGGCTAGAGTGAGTGCCGTGGCATAAGCCTAGCTCACAGCAACCTCAAACTCCTGGGCTCAAGTGAGCCTACTGCCTCAGCCTCCCGAGTAGCTGGGACTACAGGCATGCGCCACCATGCCCGGATAATTTTTTCTATCTAAAAGTTGGCCAATTAATTTCTTTCTATTTATAGTAGAGATAAGGTCTTGCTCTTGCTCAGGCTGGTTTCTAACTCCTGACCTCGAGCAATCCGCCCGCCTCGGCCTCCCAGAGTGCTAGGATTACAGGTGTGAGCCACCGCGCCCAGCCTCCCTTTCCTTTTTCTTAGAGTATTTCCATTAGAAACCTAGTTTTCTTCAGGTTATGAGACTGACACGCTAAGAGGGCGGCGACTAGAAACCTAGTATTTCTGAATTCTTTCTCTAACCTTTTGATATGCATGTAAATCTTATTAAAGACTAAGTAAATTTCTTACCAGGCTTACAACCCAGAAGTATTTTTCAAAGGTCCGGGATTTGTCCCTTTTAAATGTAAACATCTGAGAAAATAACACCCCAGTGTTCCTATTACTGTAAGAGTTTCATCAAGATCCCTTTGTGTGAGCTGTAAATCCGCTACCAGGGGAGGTAAAAGAGTTTTATCATTCCTTTGGATAAAGTCAGTTAACTAAAACAAATATTTACTCAATTAACTAAGACTTGATTCTCAAGTAAATTTAGGATGAAATTATGAAAGATTTGCAGCAAATGTTGCAGTCAAGTACTCTTATAAAAATACATTAATTTTGAGAACTGATCACACAGTGGTTAAACATAGAATAGTATAAAAAGCTTATAACTGCTTGACTGTATACATAAGGTGGAATTTCTCTGTAATCTCTTTCTGTAGATTATCTACAATACTATACTCTGGATATCCTTATTCAGTAATTGTTTTATTACTGTTTTGCTTGCCTTCTTTTTCTACGTTGTGTAGAGACGACTGCTACCTCCGTATCCTCATCTGTTAAAAAAAAAAAAGGATAATCGTACTTACCCCATAAGGCTGTTTGGCCATTTAATGAATTAATTCGTATAAAACTATGAGAAACTGCTACTAATGACATTACTTAAGGGATAAGGAGAATGGGACAGAGAAAGATCCCTAAGTAACTCGCATAACGTTGTAACACTAGAAGTGGCAGAGCTGGCAGGTAGGTGGGATAGGCTGGCTGGGGAACGCCGGGAGACCCTCAAACTAGGCGACAAGCGACCAGGTCAACCACAACCCAAAGGTGCACGAACTGCTCTACACGGAGGCTCGCCAAGGGGAACGCAAACGGCTCCCAACTCAATCCTCCGCAGGTGGCCGCGGCTTCTCGGTCTCTCCTCGAGACGAGACTCAGGGCTCCGATGGTTTCCGGTCCAGGCAGAGAAAGCTTGGAGGGTCCCCGCGGATCAAAGACTTGTCTCCTTGAACTCTCCTACAGCGAAGGAGCCTCCTTGCGACTAGAGAGAGCCCGCGGACCACTTCCCAGAATTCCCTAGCCCTGACATCCAGAAGCGGAAGTGCCCCCTGCTACACGGACCTCAGACTACACTTCCCAGAATGCTCCAGAGGAAAACATAGCTGTAGCCCCGCCTCCTGGAGAGGAAATACATCCGAGTACCCTGAGCTCCTGGGTATTCCTAGAATCTCGGCCAAGTTTTGTCATTACATTGTGGAAGTGTCTGCCTTGGTCGCGCCTGCCAATTTTGCTGTTAAAAGCTTTAGCCTTCTTGAAGAGGCTCGGGGACGAGGTCAGGAGAAGTGTGCCTGGTAAAACCCCAAAGAACTGCACAATTAGGAGTAAGGATAAAAGGGAAATGGAGTGTCTTCAGTAGGACAGAAGCCAAACTTTCAGATCACCTCAGTACCTGAAAATAGATTAAAGTGAACCTTTTTTTGTTAGTATCTTTAGGCACCTGACAGAAACAAATAAAAATCCTCTATAGAGAAATACTGCCGTCTGAGAGCTGATGTTATTTCTATAATTTTATAATATATTCATACTGGACAAAGTATAGTAGACCTTGAAGAAAACAGCATTATAAGATATGCAAAGAAACACCTCATAATAATGAAAGTTTCAGGTTGTATGTTCAACCTCATCACTACTATTTAACATAGTACTAGATATTCTAGCCAGAGCAGTCAGAAAAAAGAACAGTCTTTCAAATTGGAAAAAAGTAGAATTATCTGTTTGCACATGACTTGATCTTATATAGAGAAAGATTCCATGTACATACAAAAAAGTTAGAACTAATAAAAAAAAGTTAGCAAAGTTGTAGGATACAAAATCAACACTTAAAATCAGTTGCTACCAAAAAAAATAGGCAGGATTGAAAAAGAAATAGAATTTTTTGAAAATCAGTTGCATCTCTATACACCAACAATGGCCAACCCAAAAAAGAAATAAAGAAAATTTCATTTACTACACCATCAAAAAGAATAAAATACTTAGGGATAAACTTAAATAACTGAAAGACTTATACACTGAAAACTATAGAACATTGATAAAAGAAATCAAAGAAGAAATAAATAAATGGAAAAATATCTTGTGCTCATGTATTGGAAGACTTAATATTACTAAAATGTCGTACTACCCAAAGTGATCTACAGATTCGATGCAATCCCTATCAATATCTGATTAGCATTTTGGTTTTCACAGAAATTTTTTTTAAAAATCCTAAAATTTGTATGGACTCTCAAGGGACCCCTAATAGCCAAAACAATCCTTAAAAATAAGAACAAATTTGGAGGCCTCACACTCCTTGATTTCAAAACATATTACAAAGCAATAGTAACTAAGATGATGTGGCATAATGACAGATGTATAAACAATGGAACACAGTAGAAGACCCAGAATAAACTTCTGCATATATGGCCAAATGATTTTTTATGAGCACCAACACTACACAATGGGGAAAGGACAGACTCTTCAACAAATGGTCTTGGGAAAATCAGATATCCACATGCTAAAGAATGAAGTTGGACCCTTACCTTACACCATATACAAAATTTAACTCAAAATGGATTAAACACCTGAAATGTTAGACCTAAAATGATTAAACTCCTAGAAGAAAACATAAGGGAAAACCTTCATGGCATTGGATTTGGCAATGATTTCTTGGATATGAAACTAAAAGCACAGGCAACAAAGTAAACAACAGACAAATGGGACTCACCAAACTCAAAAACTCTGTACCAAAAGAAATAGTCAACAGAGTGAAAAGGCAACCTGTGAAATGGAATAAAATAATTGCAAATTATATGTCTGATAAGGGGTTAATATCCAGAATATAGAAAGAATTTCTAAAATTCAACAATAACAAAAAATTCCCCAAATATTCTGAATTAAAAATTTGACAAAGGTCTTAAATAGACATCTCCCAAGAAGATATACAAATTGTCAATAAGCACATGAAAAGATGTTTGACATTACTATTCATTAGGGAAATACAAATCAAAACCATAATGAGATGTCACTTCATAGCCATCAGGATGGCCACTATCAAAGGATATAACATTGGGACACTTGTGCATTGTTGGCCGGAATGTAAAATGGCACAGCTATTGTGGAAAACAGTATATAGGTTTCCCCCAAAATTAAAAACAGAATGACCAGTTGACTCAGCAATTCCACTTCTGGATATATATCCAAAATAATTCACATCAAGATCTCAGAGATATTTTCACACTGATATTCATCGCAGCATTATTCACAAGAGGTGGAAGCAATCCAAGTGTCCATTGACAGAAGAATGGAAAAAGAAAATGTGCTACATACAATCAAATATTATGCAGCCTTAAAAAAGAAGGAAAACCTGTCACATGCTATAACATGAATGAACCTCGAGGACATTATGCCAAGTGAAATAAGCCCATCACAAAAGGACAAATTCTATATGATTCCACTCATATGAAGTACCTAAAGTAGTCAATAATAGAAGTAAAATGTAGAAAGTGGTTAACAAGAGCTGGGAGGAGGAAGGAGGAAATAGTATTTA